ACACACACACACACACACACACACACATACATAACCCCATCTCCACTTGGTGAACAGCCACTGTATTTACCAGTCTGCCTTCAGACAGACCACCAGTGTTGAGCTCAGATACTGAAGCTGACTAGATTTTATTTAGAGATTTCAAACAAGCTGAACGGGAGCTTAAATTTCCGCTAAAGTCTTCCTGTCTCTTGGATTAGTTTGAATTTTAGATGTTTTGATTTTTGTTGGGAGCATCTTGTTCCATACGGTCATAGAGCTAACACATCCTCTGTGCTGTTTCACTGTTCTTTCATTCTCTTTGAATGCTGAGGTCAGTGGTTGACCCCCAGAAGAGAGGAGGTGAAGTGGTGACAATGTGGATTCCCACACCCAGTATGACTCTCCCTCAGCGGATGGTGCTGTATGGGACGTGTGTCGTGGCACTGATGAACTCTATAGGCCTTCTGGTGCTCTTGGTCCAGCAGAATCAGCAGTGTGCCAGGCTGGAGCAGACAGAGGCACGGCTGATGGAGGTGGAGCAGAGCTCTGTGGTGGAGTTTCTTCAAGAGGTGCCCAGAGGAGCAGCAGGGCTGCGGGCGAGCGTGGGGGAACAGCCACAGTATCAGTACCAATACTCCAGGAACAAGAGGAGCAAAGAAGTGGAAAAGGAGCTACAGCAGGAGCTGCAGGAGATTCGCCAGGAGGAGGGAAAGGAGATCAGTGAGCAGGAGGCCAGCCAGGAGGTCGGAGAGGAAACCGAGAAGAGGACGAAACACGAGAAGCACAAGCAGCGGCACAGCCAGCACTACCACAAGGCGCACGTGCAGGACGACATGATGATGATGATGACATACTCCATGGTCCCGGTGAGTCTAGATCCTTGAATGAGAGAGAGAGAGAGGGCAGGCCAGGACATGTAGAGCAGCTCAGCCTGCTTCCTTGTTTTGTGATTGCTTAATAATGCTGTCGCTAATGGTTCACTGGACTAATGGCTGAAAGTCGTAACGCTCATGGAGCCTGACGATCTGGCAGCGCCGAAGGCTCCAGATCCTGATTGTGGTAATATGATTACAGGAATTTTAGTTTAGATGTCCTAATCAAACTCCAACAGAATATTTCCAACACATTTGAATTTTAATTTTGTACCATTTTAAGCTTCTATTCAGCTACATTTGACAGAAAAACTGTAGTTATTTAACATACTGAGATTCTGCATTCAAATCATGCTCATCTTATTGAATATGACTTACTGTAGTCACTGCCACAAAGTAAATATTATTACATATCAAATAATAATAATAATAATAATATTCCTCGCATATAATTATGTATATATATTAAATATTATTCTATAGATACTGACTTAAAAGCACTATACAAAAGAATTTCAACCAATGTGAATGACTGAATTTGAGCCAATGAATGTTAATGTAACTTAAAAAAGGAAACATTCCTGACATTCTCAGTAACATTGAACAGTCTGATTTCTTTGGAAACACTCTGTGAAACTCATTAACTATCTTCTGATGACTCAGAGGGTAACGGTAAAGGTTTGGGGGCGTTATGTGTAGCTGGTGGATTTCAAGATGCATAATGGATGAAGTTAGAGCCACAAATTCAACTGTGAGACAAAAGCAAATCAGATTTCAAGCTAGCACTTCAGTCAGTGCAGTCCCCTTTTGCTCTGAACATGAACCCTTTACCCTTCTGCAATCAAAGCCTAGACGAGTAAAACTAGTCAGTAGTTTTTGAACTACAAAACAGAAACTGGATATTCTATTTTAGAGACTATCATATAAAAAGACTGGAGTTAGATTTACCCCATACATCCAAAGAAAGCGACATTTAATCTTCCTTTAGAGCACCTTGCCTCAGTGCTTCTTTTTCTCCACTTCCCTACAGAGCAAAAGTGTGCAGCAGTCAGAGTCAGTGATTCACTAATGTCAGCAAACAATCAGTTTCAACACAGCCAGAATTCTACCTGCACTTTAAAAAGGTGACGCCCGCCTTGCATGAACAAGGGTCAGCATCAACAAGCCCTTAATCTCCATGCAATATTTTAGCTCCTCTTGCTCTTTCCTCTTTAAGAATCTAGCTCAGAGTCAAATGTAAAACAGTTAATACTCAGACTGTAGTAACAGCGTTCGTTTACATTTCTCATCTACCAAAATGATCAGTCAGTTTAATGTGTATGTCAGGCTCATGTTCTGGCCTGTGCACAGAATGCTGACTCATACCTACTGAGTGTGAACACCACACAATTAACATGATGCGAACTGCAGTTACCTTAATGGCCGCTGGTGTCTTTTAACATGAAGGGGTTTCTGAAGTCTACACAGATAATCTTTAACTGGCACGTTAAAAGGTGCAGGGTTTTTATTTTTAATAGAGTAATTTTAGGTAAAGTATGCTGCTAAATTTACTGCATTAATATTTTTTCTATTTCCTCTTTTACTTCAGATCAAAGTGCTGATTGATATCTGCAACAGCACCAGGGGAGTCTGCATAGCTGGTATGTTTTACTCATATGAATCATGTGATCATGTTCAGAATATTACTTTTAAAAAAATTCTCTAACATTTCTAAACTTTCGTTTACAGGCCCTCCAGGTCCGCCGGGTAAGTCAACCCACAATTCCTAATCCAAATTTAAAACCTGCTGTAGGGTATGTCTCCTTTGTGGTTTAGTGACCCATATTCTTGATAAGTCTTTTTTTAATGTTTATTCTTTCGTTGGGTCCACAGTAAAGATTTTTTTGTGTTACTCTAGGTTTGCCTGGTGCAGATGGCCTGCCTGGACACAATGGGACTGATGGCATCCCAGGACTGAATGGACTTCCTGGGGCTGATGGGAAAAGAGGAAGAAAAGGTAAGGAATTAGTGCTTTCACTCGGCATCCATCTTTATTTTGTCCTCAGGCAATCTTGGCCATTTAAGCATAGAAGTAGTGGTACAATGTAAAAGTCAAAAGGTTGAGTATAACCTGCAGAGAAAAGTATTAAAATAGCAAAAAAGAAGAAACAGCCACTTAAAATCCTTGGCACGCGCACACACACACACACACAGACTTCTTTCTGTCCATGTATCACAATGCAAGCAGAATTTATTCACATTTTTGCTTCATGAATGAGTGAAGAGTTTGAAACAGCTTTCTTCCCTTGCCGATATTATTCATCTCTGTGGTTTTGGGCTTCAGCTGAATGAACTGGAAAACTGTCTTCCAGTATTCTCCCACTTCACTCTGCTCTCCTCCACAGTGGATGGCATGATTCATGCCAGCAATTCAATGGGACAATTCATTTCAACAATGGGGCAAAGTGTATTGAGGTTACGAATACAATGTTCTAGCTATTTTGCACGGTGTTCTCCGCAGGGCCAGCAGGTGAGAAAGGAGAACCAGGAGAAAGAGGGGAGCGAGGAGAGCCGGGCCCACCCGGAGAGAAGATCCAACCATCCAATGATGCCATTATTGAGGGCGAGCAGAACTTTATTGACTTGAACCATTTT